GCAGGAGGCAGAGAGATGGTAAAATCCCTTGGATCAACTCAGAAACATGCTCTGGTTTTAACCTGTCAATCTAAAGGGCAATGGAAGCATCAAAGAGTAACAAAACACTCACTGAGGTGACTTTCTTGGTGGAAATGAAAAATTTGTTGCTTGGGTTTCATTTATAATGGCAGCGCCTGGTTTAAAAGGTGATGGTCATGGCTGCTCTTTACAGTGACAGAAGAACCTCTAAGGAATAAACAGTGCTATGAGAGCATAAAACACTCTTAACCCTGAGAACACTTTGGAATGTACAATAGTGATTCATTTCTACGGGGAAAAAAAAGACCAAGTTAGACAAACTTCATTTTTCCCAACGGAGATTCAAATTCTGGTTTCTGGAGCCTAATCTCTATAACCAGAGTACTGAAATCATTCTTAGGAAGATGATCACACTCAGTGCTTTTGACAGTCTTCACCCACTTCAGAATCTATGGTTAAAACCTACTAGTCTGTACCAGCTTTCATGGAAAACCAAAAAATGTTTGCTCTTATATTTCTTTTGGGACCAAAGAGATGGAGTGACTTAAAAGTCGAGTGTCGTATACACAAGCAGGATTTCAGAAACAGAGGACAGAATATCTTCAATCTTTTAAGTCTCTGTTCTCTTTGGGCAAATACATTTTTTCTATGAAAACAACTTTTTAAAATATCTTTTTAAACATTAACAATATTTTTAAAGCTATTTTGACAGGCCTCGACAGTCAAGATTGTTGCAAAGAACAATCGACTCTGTGAAAACAGGGAAGCAGTCAGACAATACATCCTGATTCAACTCCTTCACACTCACTGGAGGACATCTTGCACTTCAGTCCTTGTGGAAACAAAAACATAAAGTAGCTGCTCACTCTGTTACTTCCTGACACCTCACAAGGGCAGTGACCGTTTCACCTCTCCACTGTGGTGCCTCTCCATAATTTAAATCTCCCCATGCAACACTTCAGTCCACACGAGTCACTACAGCGTAAACACTGGTATTTTTTTATGAATGAGACCGGCCACACTCAACTGAGCTCTAACAATACGGGAAAATGAAAGCCAAAATGATTCTGGAAACATACTTCTCCACAGTTTCTCCCTGAGAAACAGATCACAAATGTGTTTGTTGTATGTGACAGCATTCTTTCTACTATTTGTAACATAAAATTTGTCCCTCAGAGACAAGATTAACAGGCTTTAGATGGAGCCAATCCAACATTCACCTTTATACAACTGCATGCATATTATGCACATCACTGACTTGGCCTTTTAGCTCAACTGGGACAAATTCACATTATAAAGATAGCTGTCACTCGAAAAAATGTATTCAACTTGTATAACGTCACGTTGTTGTACCTCAAATAAAAAAATGCAGACGATACTGCAGAGAGCAAAAGATCATGCCCTCCCTTATAGCTCAAATGGGAATAGTTGGGCTTCTGTAAATAAGTAGGATCAGACCTGCTCTGTTTGGAAAGCGCTGCGAGATAACTGTTGTTGTGATTTGGCGCTATATAAATAAAAGTGAATTTAAATTAAATGAAAATCCCTCAGTGGCCTCACACGTTGGACCAAAAAAGCAGGAGTGGGAGAACATGGCAGTGACCAGGTCTGCCAGGAGACATCCTAGATGGATATTTCTATTACACTCTCAAAGTTATTATGTCAGGATGTTGATTCTTGCTCACTACTCCTAGGGTCGATATAGAATAATCACTTAACCTAACCTGCAAGGTTTTGGATGGTGGGGGGCCGCTGGAGCACCCAGATAAAACCTATGCATGCATGAAAAGCGTCAGGATTTAAACCTGGGATCCTTTCGTCTGACCCGTATAACAATGGTTAATGGTAAGCTTTTACTCTGTACACATCAAACTGCTGCTGTTTGGTTTATCAGTGATGGACAACAGGATAAGTAGACTGAGATGATCACTCACTTTGCAGCATGACGTGAGAACAATGACCTGATCTTAAACCCAGTGAGTAAACCAAAAGGAAATTGTACAGACTTTAGGAGGACAATGTCTAAGCTAAACATGGTCTCCATCTAAGGTGGAGGTGCAGGTTGCTGAGGATTGCAGATAACTGGACAAACAGATTGGGCTCGAGATGCAACACTGAGCATAGATACAATAAAAAAAACCCACACAGGCTGTAGATAAGGAAACAAAGGTCCTTCAAAATCTACACAAAAATGCTGAAAAACATGATAAAGGAGGCTCGTTTATGTGGTGGGGACTAATGTTGAACCCCTGGAGCTGTCTGTGAAGTGAAGAATGCTGTACCAATCAGTTAATATAAAGAACAATTCCGAGCATCCTCTTCATAAAAATGTGTTGAAACAACAATGCGATCAGCCTGAGGCTCATTCAACTGCACTGCAGAGAGATACGAGAGGTCCTGACTGCAAGCAGCAAGAATTCTTTTTCATGAAAGCTTCTGATGATTTCTTGATGAAGAAAACGACAACAACATAATTTTCCCTATGGGAGAACTGAATATTATGTAATTTGATTTTATTTTTGTACTCATTATATATTGTAAAATTGTTCAGATCTATAATCTAAGTTTTTTAGAGGGCACCAAAATGATGAAAAAACAAACAAACATGCATTTGATTTCTTTTTTTTCTGGCCAAAAGAGGACATCCATCATCTGTGTCGTCAGCATGTCTGTACAGGCTAGATTGCTTTAGACCGACTCCCTGGGGACTTATTTTAGACACAGCTCTGCTCTGGTGATCATCATTAGGTTGCCAAGCAACTCCAGGAAGTCCTTACAAATAGTAAAAAAAAAAAGGTAAAAATGTAAATCTTGCATAGATTTTTTTTAATATGCTCGTGGTGGTTTTTAAACTTAAATCATTTGTTTGTTTTGCTTGTATGTTTTTTTTTGCTACATTGCTTCTGCCTGTTAATTTGCAACATATAACCTTTTTAACCTCTTAAAATCGTTAACAATTTAAAAAGAGCCATGTTAATATGTCCTCAAATTCTGTTAGTAACAATGTCAGAGCTGAGGAACTAAACTGAACAAGCTTGTGAAAATTTCATAAAAGTTTTAAATCTTAAAAAATTAAATGAGGGTAAGTCTGAAGAGTTGACCTTTATTGTCTTTTTTCTTCTACGTCATCAGAACTGTGAATTAGTATCTATGAAGTAAAATGATGGCTTTGTTTAACTGATTCAGTCACAATAACATGAATCAGCCTGACAGGAAATACACTAACCGCTATAACGTTTCAGTCCTGTGGCCTCTTCACTGGAGGTGGTACACGTTAAGAAATCACTAAATTATAAAGAAAAACATGCCCAGAACCTCAGCTATTTTTTTTCCCAAAATATAAGGAATCTTTCTTGCAAAACTAATCTGCGAAAAGCAAGTCTTTAACACAAATACCTAAACAGTCTGGAGGAAAACCAGTTACAAATCACGATGCAGAGCATGACCACCCACAGTCGGCAGATGGGGCATACAATGTTGCCAATCCTGAAAGCGTCCAGCTGGTGTATTAGTCACCTGCCAGTCATCACTGGACCTAAGCCAGAAACGCTATAGCTCACCAATCAGGACTCAACATCAGAGTCAACAGTAACAGACACAAAAACAGGGCCAGTTAGGGACCCCGGTAAAGACAGGAGCTGTATTAGCTATGCTTTTTAAGAAAATAGAGGAGAGACTGTTTAACCCTGTTACACTGCATAAAGCACCTCAATTTCTACACACACATACAAATAATAGTATGTTTCTTTAGAGCCCTAAAAGCTGCCAAAATTACTGATCTCTTTTAGTGGTTAAAGGTTTCAAAATGGAGAGGATATGATGGAGGGTAGTCAAAAACAGACAAGACGAAAGAGGATGCAGATAAAGCAGAGGGGAAGCAAGGTGATAAAACTTTGGGGAGTGAGGCATGTTGCACCTTGAGAGATGGGGGAAGGGTGTGAGATTATATGGCAGCATGTTTACTGGACCGAGGGTTGTAGTCAAGGCTAAACTCTGATTTCAATCTCTGCTTAAATAAAAGGAAAACTACACATCAACATATTTTTCTTTAAAAAAAAAGGTTTATTTGGTATTTTGAGAAAAAAACACTATCTGTTTTCACACACATTGTGATTTAGTGTCTTATTTTTAGCGTTTTTACACAAACTTTCTTTGCCTTTGACCAATTTTTTATGTTTTTTTTTTTTACATTTATCAGGCTGAGATTGAATGAATTCATGAATGTCAAATGCCAGTTATGACCACCTTTAAATACCACCGTTCTGGCTCCTATCTTTTTTTAAGAGATATATTTCTAGGTCTCATCAGGTTGTTTTCACAGTACAGAGAGTGCTGCGCATGTGACGAGACTGCTGTTTCTATCCAGAATGACTTTTCACAGCAAAGAATCACACAGGAGATTTTTTTCTATTACTTGTGCAGACAGAAACAAGAAAAAGTGAAAGCCACAAAGACTTCCTACTGACTTTGGCCATGTTGTTTCCAGGTCATCTGCTGTGGGAACATACAACCCCACAGCTATTAACAGGATTTTAACACAACTTACTGAGTGTACATAGAGAAAGTTGGCTCAAGGATCAAATGCAGTCATTCAGTGACGGTATGTGTGTTCATATGAGGAGATGGCAGCTCGAGGACTTGGCAGGTCCAGTGAAGCAGCAGGGTATATCAGCAATTTTCATTGGTTGCCTCGTGTTTTGCCGTTACAAGAAGAAAAGCCTGGTTGAGCCGTATCCTGTTCTAAACTCATACTCAGCATAGGTCAATCCCATTGTCTTGATTTAAGATTTCAACATGCTGCTCCCTCTGTATGCGGCCATTGATTAAAACCTGATTTACAATGTGTCGTGTCCACTGAGCTACAGGAAAGAACATCATGTACCCGTGACAAACCGAAAAGACTTACTCTCGCATGTTATTGCTTTGTTCGGAGCTGTGAGAATAGCAGCCGAATGTGTGGGCGTTCAGAGGACACTCACCACAAGAGACAGCGGCCTCTTCCATGACACCACTCCGATGAGACCAGAGAGCAGAACCTGGGAGAGAAGACCCAAAAACAAATGCTGTAAGTGAATGATGCTGACAAGCAAATATCTGTTGTGAGAACACAACAGACATTTGATGAATAATAAATGTTGCTCTTTTCTCTGAGGAGAAAACTATACCATTTTGGTTTGATTTTCCTGAGTTTAGCCAGGTTCCCACCCATAACAATCACATCTCCCAAGTACTATTCAACCACAAAAGACATAGAGTTCCTTCCCTATCTGATATTATGGTACAAATATTATATACCGTATGTTACCAAGTGGTAAAAACAGCAACCCACGCATCTAAAACACACACATTCATGCGGTCTGTTTAAGTAAAAATGCCTGAAAAACAGACACAGACATTCAGAGGTGGTTTCACTTCTATTTTGGGTTCTTCAACTAACCAACTGGGAGAGATTCTGTTCCCGCTTGCCATCAGGTTTGTCACCCAAGTCTCTGTGTGAATATGGATTTCTTTGCCATCCTGTATTCTCAGGCTCACTCCTCCACGGGTTATTTTCCCTTCAGCCGAGAGGAAATTAACACATGCCTGAAGTTTGAGATGATTAACAGCAGAAAGTGTGAGGATCTCTAGAGCGTCTCCAGCTTCTTAAGTGTGACTTACTACTCCCAATGTAAAAGCTGGGCAGAAATGTCACATCATGGGCTGCTGCTGCCTAAAATCAGCGGCAAACGTCGCTGGCAATCAACAACGAGTTTTCTTCAATGTGATGTGGTGTGAATTAAAATGCAATTTATCACGAGACAAATTTGGACAGTGAATATTATGTATTTTTCAGGACGATAAACATATTTGGGAAAATATTATGCAGACAGAATAGACAATGGTACTCAAGCAGAGATGTAACCACACACAGAAAAACAATGATGAATCACAGCCTTCATCATAAACTAAACTAATTAGACTCTTTAACTTTACCTCATTTAGCAGTTTACTGATTACAGGAAAAACTTTTACAGATGATCTATGCCATCCTCTGATGTCACATTGGAAGTGCAGATAAACACAGTATCAGCTTACTGTAAATATAATTCCAGCAAGTTCAAAGGGTCCTCGATAAAATCTGCTTCCATAAAAGTTATTTTCATGTGGGAGTAATATTCAGCTACTAATGACACTGTGATAAAGGTTTTAAGGCCATTATGTGTTTTAGCACTGAGGTCACAGTTGTAGAAAACAGAGCAGCCACTCAGCATCTTCAGCAGTGAAATCATTGACAAATACAATATCAAAATTAAGTACTTATCCTGATAAATGTTGTGAGTAGGTTAAAGTGAAGAAATGTGCCACATCTTGTGGTATAACTTCTTCACATTCGTCGAAGCACATCTGAAGTAACTTTACTTCACTGAAAATTTGTTAAAATAAACTTCCCTGATATCTCTCTAACACTCTACAATGATAAACATTGTTAAAAACTATGTGATTGTATTTCCCACTATTTTTAGCTTTGGTCTTTGTCATTATAGCGCTAATGAACTGTAAATCATGCAGGGAAACCCTGCTCAGCTTTTCATTCAGTGAGAACATTGACGGAATTAAGGCAGCACCTTCAGTATGAATGTTTATTTTCAATAAGTGGGTGTATCCAGACTTTTGAATTTAAATGCACTGTGTTAGAGTTTACTCACTAAATGAATAAAGAACAGATGGATGTAGGAACACCACAATATTTGTTTTTGATTAGCTTTAAACCATTTCTGACCCAAAATCTGCTCCATCATAGATAGTGACAAGTAAACATCAATAAAACAACATATACGGGTTACATTAATGATAAAAAATAAATCCATCTGAGTAGTTTTTAACTATACTACTCAGTAACTGCTGTGGTGGAGAATCATCAACAGTGTTTTTCTGTCAAATGAGGATTTAAGTGAAAACACACATTTTCTCTGTAGAATTAATGCTTTTAAAAAACGTTTGGATGCTCATTCCAACACGCTATCAACAAGTTAAGTTAGGATCAGATTATTAGAGAGCGGAGCATGTCAGAGCACACACAACCACTGCCCAGTTTATCCATTTCACCTTCATGGGAGGCTGTTGCCTGTTCCAACAACCAGTGGGTGAGATGTGCACTCTGGATAGGTTGGCAGTCCATCACAGTAACAAACACCCATGCGCAATCCCACTCACAGTCAATTTGGGGATCACTAATGGACCAAACATGCTGGATTTTGGATGGTGGGAGGAAGCTGGATGACCAAGAGTGAAGCCAAATATGGAATGAGAGAACATGCAAATTCCACATTTGAGCAGTGTGAGACGGCAGTGCTAATAGCTATGTGAAGCCTGGGTGGTAAACAGTTTGCAGGAAAGTGGGAGAAAGTTCTCTGTTTCTTGCAGCTCTTGCAAGACAATTTGAAACTAAATCCTCAGTGGTTGACAAAGTACTCAGTTTCATCACTTAAGTAAAGGTGCAGATCCGACTGATCAAAGATTATTCAAGTAAAAGTAAAAGTAGATCTGCCAAATTAATACTTGAGTTAAAGTACTGGAGTATTTCCTTTCCAAAAATGTGTTTTCAAAGTACTTCAATCTGTTCAAGGTTTATTCCGCTCCTTGTCCTTGACACACTCCAGCCCCCTTGTGACTTTGACTGAGTGGATAGAGAAAAATGGACGGGGGTCTTAACAAAACACTAGGGTTTATCATATGTAAGTATCATAGCAACATCAAAGTTTTTTTCAAATTTCTCCAATAACCCCAATTTCAGTTCGGGCTCCGTTTGCCTAGAAACAGTCCCTCTGAAGCCTTGCGTCAATAATGTTCTGATGTCTGCATCTCCTTTTAGTTTGACAACATGACATTTTTGGATAAGACGCCTGATTAAATCCGGTGCAACCAGAAAAATAAAATCTCTTGTTGAATCGCAGTGTACTTTTCTCGGGATGCGGGCATGTTTTTCTGCAGCATGCTCTACCTGGTGCTTTAAATTTTGCGTATCATCGCAATGTGTGTGAACAAAGGGTACTCATAGCCTCCAGCATTCATTTCTCCACAGTCTCCCTCTGCCTTTCACCTTTCTTCACCCTCCGTTAAACACCAACATACTCACCCCATTTCTACCCATCATGCTCAGCTCCTTCTTTCTCTTCACTCACACTCTTGATGTCTACCATCTCTATTTAAACTTTGCCACTTTTTTGCTTTCCAATTTCTCCCCCTAACACACTCCATCTCTATGTCATCTCTATCTCTATTTCTTCACTCACGCACTCCCTATGACTCGGCTCTGTCTGATCTTCTAATTTCTATCTCCCACTCCATCTTGCTTCACTTTCTAGTCAATCATCCATTCTTCACCCATCCTGACACCCACAGGACTTGGCGAATTGGGTGTTGGTATTTAATTTGAGCATAAAGGCACACAAGCAATCTATGGAAAATAAGAGACATATTCATTTCAGCATATCTTCTTATCAAACCCACACAAAAAAAATAGCTAATATCAATCGATGTTTGGAAAAAGTTAATTGATATAAATCACGATGGACAGCACAAACTTACACTAAATCTCAATCTCAATTTAAATTGGGGCCCAGAAATCTGCTGTTATCCTGATAAATGTATATTTTTCTGGAAGGTTGTTTCTTGCTCGAGTTTTTTCAGCACATTGTTTTGAGCTCCATGTACCAACCAGCATGCATTTGCAGTTTAGGTCAAGCCTGCATTAAATCTCAGACATCTGTAAAAGCTCTGTCCTCAGAGAAGTTCTGTTATTTTCAGAAATGCTCTGCAGATGTTCTGACCCTTTAGCTACAATTTACTCTCTTTTACTATCCAACTATCATCCCTCACCTTTTTTTTGGGGTTAAATTATTCTCAATATGCAAGAAGGAAAAATACCACATTTGTTCCTTTAACAGTTTGGATATGGATAACTAATCTAACATTGTGCAAGGTGACTCAAAACAAACTGAGATATAAATTGTGAGAGAGTGTTCCAGTGTCTTGTGAGGCCTCACTAATCAGACTGCGTCTCTATATTCTGTCTGCAGCAGCGCTGTGTCTGCGGCTCTGGTTACTACCGGCGTAACCTCCATTCCAGGCTTGTGGCACTGCAGGTATCCACCCTCTCTATACTAGTGCCGAGCACTGCGACAAGGAGCCCAGAGATCGTGTGTCACTGTAACGAACCTCGCTCGCTGCCCACTTGGTGTTGCTCCCGGCAGCTAAGGGCGAACGCGGCGCCTGCACAATGCACAATCAAGGTTGATCTGAGCTCTGGCCATAATGCAGCTTCCCCCAATGATTCCCACAGTTATGAAGGTTGGAGTACTTTTTAAAAAATACATGTATTTCTATGGTTTGGAATGAGACTGCAGTTCTTGCTTTATCTATAGCTGTTATTAAATCACAAACACACACACATTCAGGTAACATTACTGAATTGTAATTGCCAGCATGTTTCACTGTCCATGCTCAGGTCTAGAATTTGCTTCATATGATCATGCAAATTTCCGATCAGATATTTCAGACGTGGGTCTGTGACAAGTTATTTTTGTTTTTTTCACACTATAATTCTAATCACCCTGATGCGGGGACAGTAAGATCTCTAATGCCTCAATGATAGAGAGACAAAGCAACACTTCCAGGACACAATGACTCCATTCAAATCATATTAGTGCAGATTTCAAAGCTGCAAACGCACACAATGATGGCTAAATTGTCCAAGCTTCGGTGGAAATATTTCTTTGTCTCTCTCGCTCTCTGCATACATATGTATCCATGTATACAAGTGCGTAGGACAATGCGTGTCTTTGTGTGTCGTATGAACAGTGAAATTATTTGAGAGCAGGAACCATGTGATTGCTCCGCTTACTGTCAGTCACTGCGGGCTTTTCCTCTTGGCTGCTCCCAGAACAGGATTAACATTCAATACTTTGCAGCATTAGTCACTGAAACCCGGATAGAACACACCCACTACTATATTGAAAAAATGCTGAAAATCCTTCAATATCTCCTGACGTTTTGTCTCAATTGAGAAGCCTGAAACACGGATCAATCAGAAAAGCCCCAAAAGTCCAAGATGGAGCAGCAGTGGAGCAAATTGAGCCTGTCGAGATAAGAATTGTTCTACTTTAAGATGCACTGACCAAGCCAATGAGGTGGAAACAGTTGGTAGTTTTAAAAAGGGGCCTCACTATAATTGTCATAAGACATGTTGGTGCCACCCGGTAGGCAGTTAAATCAAACGTATAATACAGGATTAGAGAATTAAATTTGTTCCATGTAAACAAACCAGAAGTGAGGTGCGATGCCCCTGTGCAGTCAATTTGCATTTTTGCATGACTTAACCAAGTCACGAAACAAGGATAAATGAATTAACAATAAAGAAATCTTCAAGGGGAATACGGGTCTGGGTAATTGAATTCAGTTCATTACTAACCTTGAACTCTCTTGCTACAAGCCCAAGGTTCAATGAACAGTCAAAATATCTGTTTAGGAACAGCAATCACGGTTTTAATTTGAAGTGGGATCACACTTAAAAGCATCTAATCTTTGAAGGCAGTTACTCAGGCGAACAGGATGTTCGCATCATTAAGCACATCAGCAGAAGTGTCACAGCCTGCAGGAAACAAGCTTAAATGACAGATGAGATGATAAAGTGAGCACTACAAAAGCCGAGTTAACTTTAAAACCCGAAGGTTTTCAAGTCTCATAAGAAACTATAACTTTTTACTGTGTGTTTCCGAGACAGATATACAACAGGCCTAAATGTTGCTAGAGCTGGACACACACACACAGACACACACACGGTCGTGATAAATGGGACAGGGAGATAAAAGTGAGGCTCCGGGTCGTCACAGGATCAGAGGAGCTGGTGTCACAGCCATGAGAGAATGTATTACACAGCCTCTCATAAAATGACTACAAAAGGTGGCGTTTGAGCCCAACAACAAAGAAAAACATAGAAAAATATGACTACTGAAAATTCCTGTCCAGAGATAGACATCTTGCTCAGCCAGAGGTAGAACTCAAGCTGGTGTGCGATGGACAAAAGGCCCACGAGTCCGGCCGAAACCTCAGATGAAAGAAACCCGGAGAGCGATCGGTGTGTGTCTACTGGAGCATTTTTAAGCCACACAAACAAGAGCATGACCAACACCCAAGAGTATGAAGCTTGAGTCCAACAAAAATAGTGTTTTAACATCTAAAAACATGCATGTGCCGTACTCTGGTTTAGGGCTCCCCTCTGCTTGGGATGTGGGATATTCTTGTTGAGGAGTTGCTCATGTTTAATTTTACATCACAGTTCGGTAGATAACCAACATCTTGAAACAAACCAGGCTTGTTCCCTGACACTTCTCCTTGAGCATGAGTGACTGGGAGGAGACCTGCGGGGCATATTCGGGGGCACAGCCGAGCTCTGGAGTCTCGCAGCTGTTCTTTAGGGGGGAGCTTTATGGGGAAAGAGACGCCTGATGTTTCTGCCCTGCTCGGTTTGTGACCCGAGCACCCAGAAAGACGGACCAAAGGAAAAAAAACAACCTGATTTTCTTTCAGATAAATTGGTACTTCTGACTTTGGTTTGAATAAATTAAATTCTGCAGGTGCATTTAGGCACCCCGTGCTAAACAGAAATGTTAGCTTTGAACCATCTGCATTTCCACTGAGGTTTAAAGTGGGGGTTAGAATTAAGACAACTGAAGTGAGACAAGTGAGACATCTCTCTTTGTGGGAGCGTAGGGGCTTCAGCACTGATCACAGCGTCCACCAGATACAGTTAGACCAGGACAGCTGTTGATGGCATGTATTTTTACCGGATTATTGGTGCTTTTATTTGGGCGTTAGACCGTATTCACTGCCAAACAATTCAGGATTAATATCTGAGACAATATTGTCTCAAAACTACTTCATAGAGAAATACTGGATATTTTGAAGCCTTTGATGTGCTTTGTAGGTTTTTCTAGAGACAGCTCCTCCAGCAGATTCTCGAGGCGCTTTGTCTGTGATCTATTTATTTGTGTTCTGGGACATGTCTTTTCCCATTTTATTGTGTTCATGGAGCAGAAAAATCACCACAAATGCAGCACGCTGTTCACGAAAGCGTCATAAATGGAGTGGAATCAATTTGCAAAGGTAGGAAACCAAGTATGTGGAAGCTGAATGATGTGACAGTGAAGTTAGATACCAGACTATTATTTTTTTTTTCTGTGCTCAAGTACCATAAACGTGTTATTTTATACTTTCCTTTCTGTATACTGTCAGTTACCTTTGACCTGGTGTGATTTGTGAAACCGTCACAGCACCTTTTACAAAGTCTACCGTACAGTAGAAATCTTACTATTTCTGTCCCATCTGCAGAAAACACGAATGTGGTACTTGGACAACAGAGACTTCCAGCTTGAACAAACGACTTTGGCACTTTGTTGTGCCACGCATCATTTGTGTCAACACAAATGGGCTGAGTTTGATTTGTTTTTGTTTTTGTTTGCATCAGATTGTACGGATGGTACATTAGCTCTCCTTAAGGTGAAATGTCACTGTAGGATGTGCCTTACTCCTCCCCTCCCTTGATTTGAGGTCTGCTTTAGAACAAAAAAGGAATTAAAATAAGGGGCTCCTGCAAAAAAAACAACATTTCCATATTCATTTCTGACCAGTCTGAACAACTGAAGCAGACGTCTGCTGCCAACTTCCTAACTAGAAAAAAAAAAGGCTTTTAACACATTATCCCAGTTAAAGCGACTGCTTTCCAGTTAATGTCCATTAATTACTGAAATGGCAAACAGTGGGAATTCTGTGCTACTACTGACTAACTAATGGATTTTTAATCTTTTGCATCATTGCTTGGACTTTAAGACGCTCAAACAGGGGCCTTCAATCACTTTTAGAGTCACTGTTGCAAACTAAGGGACAGAGCTTTTGAACAAACTCTGACAAAGGAAAAACCATACACTGATCAAGTAGTTTCTTATAAGTCCAAGTTTTAAGCAGGACGACTTCTACCAATTGCTTTGTACAGCATTATATCGATGAATAATTTCTGAAAGATTTGTCCAGTTTTTATTAAATGCAAGCAGAATTCTCCCTGGAAGCGGCTAGGATCACTCGTTTGTGCACCATTTTCTCTTTCTTTAAACTAGGTTTCAAACAACATGTGAAGATTTACTGCATGTTAATGCATGCAGGATAAAAATCAAAAGTGTCATAATTTATGACACAGAGACACAGCCTGTCTGTCAAACACAATGAGTTTTATTCATAAATCCTGTTATCAACCATCACACATTTACCTCAAGCTGCTGCAGAGAATCCAAAGGCCTCCTCCCTGACTTCTTGGATTTACATTCAGACCAAAAAAAAAAGGTAATGAAATACAGAATAAAGCAACACAGAAAAACACCATTTCCTTTTTGTCGTCTTTCAGGTTTTCTGGGGTTGTTACACTTTCAAGAGAGTTAGTTAATCAATTTTAAACTCAATATCCACCATGTAGACTTCTTTTGATAATGAGGCAGCTTTGGAGATGTTTACAACTCCATACTTTTGACAGCAAATGATATGTGTGAGAGCTAAAACTGCTATGGATTCTGCCTAAATCACCATATTGACCTATTCTTATTCATTTATGCATAGCGCCAATCAGAGAAGCCATTACTGGGAGTGAAGGTTTAGAAAGCAGTCCGTTTCTCAAACATCGTCACTGCCAAGATGGATGTAGCCGGTGCTGTTGCCTTGGTAACCACGAACTGGGCATTTGCCAGGATCCATAATGATTTCCCATCAGTTGCTGCACTAAGAGGAGCAGGGACCCTCGCTGATTCAGACAGGCTCCTGTTAGACTGTACATGAGCCCCTCACAGCCTCATCAAACACACACAGATATGTGGTGTGTGTACAGCAGAAAACCTTGTCTGACACGGTAGGTCTCAACTGGAGTAAAGATAGAGATTACACTCACACACACACACACCGGCCTCTTAGTCAGTTGGTCTCGTACAGTTTTGAGAATCACAGACAATTTTTATTTCCTATTTTTGTATGCTGGTCAATAAAAAAAATCGCCATTCTACATAACCGGCCATGTGAGCTGTTTCTTTTTCTGAAGCTGCAAGCAGTAATCTCACACGGTGGATGTGAGAGGGAAGGAGAGCACGTAGCCTTGAGAGGGTACCACTTTGACTTAGTGTGTGTCTCTGCCTTTAAGTGCAGGCATGTGTGAATATGCAAGCATGGACTGAGCCGAGTGTGTCCAGGGAAACTGCAGTGGCCTTTGATGAAATGAACAGCCGTTGATTAAATGGAGGTCTGTAGGGAAACTGCTTTTTAAGAAGAGTTTGCAGCATGCAAATATATACAGCATTGATCTGACGCTTTGCTTTGCATTCCATTCCATATGGTTACTTTTTTAAAAATCAATATTTCTCTACAAATGCTGCTGTACGTCTACATTATTGTAACGTACGGATCTTAGCTTGTAGCATCAAAGCTCCATGAAGAGGCACAGAGCTGCTAGACTCGATGATTCTCACTCCACCACCCACCAGTCTTCCTATGGTTTGGAACAAAAAAATCTTACTTATCATTCTAAATTCCTCCCACTGTATGTCCAGGTAAATATATCTCCACGCTTTAGCAGCGAAGGATTTATTAGGTTGCCCTCCTTTGCATTGTCAGATTAATTTGGTTTCATAGCTGCTATAAAGTGAGTCATTGTTTGGAACAAGCAAGCAACAAATTCCTTCTTTATCAGTGGGACCGAGGCATCCCTTCTGAAATATTATAAAACTGGATTATGTGTGTCACAGATGCTTTTACGGGAGTATTCATATGGGTGTTTGGGGATGTCCAGAAATGGAAGGCAAATGAAGGAGAGCCGTGGCACCGGGGGGAGCTGAACTCCTGACGTGCTGTGATAATTTAAGGTGTAACCTCCAAGCAACCTTTGTTAGACATGAAGGAGCGACACACAATGAGCCTGGAAGGTGCAACCCTGCTGGAAGTGTGCGGCGTTATTCTTATCGTGAGGCCTTTGATGTTGCTCTGTCCGTTTCCCCACAGAGCCTGTACACTGCGTCCAACAGACACGTATGCTTGGCCTTCCTCATGTTCTTGCTGTTTCAACAACCGTCCATACCCCCCCCCCCCACCCTCCACCCCCCCAACCTCTTCTTGCCTGGCATCCGTATCATATAGTATTCCCTCCTCTCCCCACCCACCACCTGCTCCTCCTTCCGAACCCCTCCCCCAATCCTGTATATCATCTCTTCACTTTGGAGCTCGGCAGCACCCCGGCGCCGTTACCATGGAAACTGTGGAACAACAGCAGGTTGGCCATTGCCGCTGCCTGGGGGGCGGGGCCTCTCGGTCACCCCTTTGCCCCCCCCCCCCCCCCCCCTTCCTTCCAGTGACCGAGGTCTGTTCTGGAGTGCCTCTGCCGCATCCAGGAATAAGAAACATCCTTTTTCACAGTGAATCACTGGGCACGGCCAAACAAAAACATACCAGAGGGGAGAGATCTGCCGCGCCGCACCACAGCAACCACATTGTGGGGGGAAAGTGAAATAAGGCCGCCTGACATCTAGCAGTGATTTCTTTAGACAATAAAATAAGACCCGTTGCATTTTCGTTGGACAGCTTGGCTTTTCTGCTTTAAGGGGAAACTCCAACTTTACAAACCCATGAGGACACCAATTATTGCTTTTGTTGCACGATGCTTGCACAAAGCAAAAATATCAGTCACTTTATTTAAGTGTAGGTTATGGAGCTCATCCAAACTGACCTGTTGGCAGTTATAGTCAGAGGAATAACTGTTGACAAAATGCTATCATATACCGACAGGGGCAGGTTTCAGGTGTGTCGACTGGCTCCATATGTAGCCTCATTTCGATTTGATAGATTGATAATTAGGGATGTGCAGATGTAAAAGCGTGAAATTGGACAATAATTAGCTCGTTGAATATGCAAAAAGCACTAACAGAAGGCATCAGCTTATTTTCATTTGGGGAGTGATGCATTGGCTTTGTTCTGAAACCGTCAATTTATATTGACACGATTCAAATTTTTTGTTGGACCATGCTAGAGGAAAGATTATAGCACTGGCTTAACTGACTTAACAGACAAAATGTTTTCTTAAGCAGAAATTGACCCAGAAATTAATTTACACAGCACGTTATGAGCAAAGTTTGTGGACGCATTTGAATTATTTTGTGCTCATTGAAGGACAAATGCACAGAGATGCATTGTTATTAATCTCTTTTCTGTGAAGGATATTCTTTTTCATGGGAAAAGCTGGCATCAGCCACTGATATTTACCAGAGAGTCTGTATATCAAATCAGACTTCAGTGGCTTGTAGTCTGAAATGATTATAGGGCTCATGAGACTGCAGATTACAAAAATAAAAACAACTAAATAAAGACAGAAAAGATTTTAAAAATCATTCTCATTCTCAGTTTGCATGTTCGATTCCTGACCTCACATCCTAGTCCTACTGCTAAAGAAGGAGGTGGAGCAGAGATGCAAGCCAAGAGGAATCAACTCAGCAGGCATTTAACAAATAGAGACATCCACGCTCCCGAGCCATCATTTTAAAACGTTTTTATCAGATAGGTCTACATCACCTGTCCACATCTTTAGATGTCCGCTGTACTTTACAGTATAATTACTTTCAGCTAAGTATTTAATCCAACCGTCCATTTTGTACCATTCAGGGCAGCAATGTTTCAGTCAAATTCTACTTAACATAAGACTTCCACAGGAAATATCCATGCGCATGTACTCAGTGCTTCTTTGCAACGGAGGCATCTCTGGGACGTGTGATTCAGACATATTTCCACATAACAGGCAGCAGGATGAAGGACAGAAGAGACAAAAAGGCACGGATGAAAGGCCGTGAGAGAAATTCTGTCAAATCTGTGTTAATGTGAGTTAATGTGAGGGATTGAATTCTTAGCCACGACCAAAGTGTCATCGTTTACAAGCTGACTGAATGGGTGAACATCAAATGTTGCTGTACAATTTTTTTTATAGAAAAATAAAAATAAAAAAAGACTAAATCAGCATTTTTTTTGCCCGAAAGCCTTTTGGGCCCAAAGCCTTTCAAGCATTCGCAGAGAACCGTGCATTCCTATCTAACGTCTCCTTTCTGATGTGAGAATCCGTACTGAGCAGAGAGTTCATTTCAAAGTGAGGAAGGTCAAAGACAAGAGACTGGTGAGGATGAAAAACTCCTGACCTGCTTTTGTGCATCGAGAGAAACCGGCCGATCAGATTGGCTGTGAGTGAGCTGAGATAAGGAAGCGGAGTGGAGACGAGAGTTGCTGCTCTGTGACTATCTGACTTCTCCTCCTAATTGAGATCCCCATCTCGCTCTCAGTATCTGGCACAGAGCCTCGTCACGTATGCATGAGCACAGACAAACAGTTAGTTGCAGATGAAAAAAAAAAAGAAAAACACACAAATGATTTGGTTCTGGTACCGAATCTTCTGTTGGACTTTGCACGCCGCAGCACTAAAATATGATCAATTCTATATCATGCTATAGAAATGTTTTGCAATATTTTCAAGCCAAAGTCAGGTTTTAAATAGATATGAGCTTATTTACTTGTCCGCTGGTTTAAATTTTGGTTTTCTTCAAGAGAGGTTAAAATGACCCAAGCTGGGTACAACTGAACTGACTCCTACCGCTGAGTCAGGCCTTCAGTCCAAAGCTTTATGCTTTCTTCTACGGCCACTTCCCCATTTAATTCAATTTCCTCCAGGAAATTCAAGCAAAACACTTATGCTGCAAAAGAGACCCAAACGAAAAAAAAACAAGTGTTTTTCATGCTCTTTCAGTGCTGAAATTCTTCTTTAAGGCAAGTAGACAGAAAATATATCCAAAATAAGTAAAGGTGTTAATTTCTCTCCATGGCAGATGGAATAAGTAAAATGCCTATTTATACAAAACATTTCTGAATAGAAATAGAAATAGAAAGTGTGAACGTGATGTTTTGTGCAGATTTCAATTAGATTCGCAGATGAAAAAGTTTTCACTTACTATTAAATGTGTGCGTCAGACCATGGAAACACAGATGGGATTTCTTTTTACTATGAATAATACTGAATGTTATATTTTCACTTCAGATCCACCTTTTAATGCCTCTGTGGTTTTGAAATAGCAGAAATATCTCAAAAAGTTAGCTGTTAGCTGTTTCCTTAGATGGAATTTTAAACATTTTTGCCTGAGACTGTTTTGGGAACCATTGTCTGACAAAAGATTATAAATATCTCAGTGATATTTGTGCTGAAACAAGCAAAATGAGTGAGGGACAACTGTAAACCCGAGAAATAATCTTTGAAAAAAGGCATCCCTAAATAGCTTTAGTAGTGACAATTACATTTCAGTTAAAAAAATAATTCAGACCCCAGAAAGTTGACTCGTCTCCCCCTCCACCCATGTTGTTACATCAGAAAGAAGGGGAGGGCAAAAAGGATGATGAAATACTGAATAACTAATAACATGATGATTATCAGATTTTTTAAATAACTTATATAAAAATTAAGGGGGCAGCTTTTACCTTAAAATCCTCAAAACATTTTAGATGAATCCTCACAACAGGAGCAGATAAAAGAAGAAAAAAAAACAACTAACAATGAATTTTTCATACATATTTTGGTACAAAAGAAACTCCCTGAACAATTGAGACACAGAGAAAAGATGAGCTATTGAAAATATTGTTTTATTTCTATGAGAGAGAAAAATGTATAAAAGATACTGAGTCTGTCTACTTCCCAGTCTTCAAGAGTGTTTTTAGGCAAAATGCACTAGGAAAAAATGTTTAAATTGATTGTCAGCTCTTGTCCTGATTTAATTTCTGCTGCAGGAGTTAAGAAAAAAAGGAGGACTTGCACGGCTTGAACATAATTTGTATATTTGACATAAAACTTTCAAGATTTTTCTCTCATTAATCTGATCTCATCAAAGTAAAAGCCATAAAACCAGAGCAACAGTGTTTGATTTGTGTTTTATTAACAAAACCTGTAAATGCTACGCTTTAATCAGATAGTGGCTACGGCTGAGTTTATCCCATCAGGCACTTTTCTTTGGTCTTTCAGTGCTCATGGGAAACACGGCTCACTGTACATCCGCACAAGTCTGCGAATCATTAAGACGAACTAAGAAAAGCATCAAACTGTCACTGTCGAGGAGGTGGCTGGTAAAGCCGTTTTAAGTCTAGTAGCAATTAACACACACAAAAAAAGGGCCTCCATAACTGATTATGACCACAAGCTTCATTCAGCTCTCATTCATTTCTCCACCACACACGCCACACAGATGACAGATCTCCCCGAAACAGAGAGATGAGCGCCCCGTGACTCGTCTCCAGCCTATTAAACCGGGTTGCGCGAGCATCGCCAGCCTTGATTTGAAAGGAATGAATTTGGGTGACACTTAAAGGACGCCTTGTGGGATTCAGACGTTCCTATTTCGGAGCACGATATTCCCACTACAGAGTAAACGCGTCTTTATGGAGATGACTGCACTGAGACGAGGCAGCTGGCATCCGTTAGTTTTGTAAGAGCATAATTAAGGCTACAGGATTTACTGCCAACTGTCACTGTACTTCAATCAGCTAACCGGCGCTTTATGAGCGCACGTGTGTGGCATATTGTTGTAGGAAAAATCCACTGGAAAGTCCAGAGAAATCCAGAGGACAAAAGCCAGGTTTGACATCAGTTTGAGTGATTCTGTTTGTGCTTGTTGCTGATCCTCGTCTTCGTGGTTGTTTTGGCCCAAACCGGCCAGCTACCGGGTAATATTCTCACTTACATATCAGCTGGGCACTGCAGCCTGCAGTGGAGCAGTTGATTTGATATGACCTTCCGCGGGGTTTGAAGAGAATGGAAGAGACAGACAGCAGCACCCGCCTCCTCTCCCCTCAGAGCCTCCATCACCGAGAACAAAACCTAACATTCAAAGCCCCCGTCCTTCTTAAATATCACAAAAAGTGACACGTAAATTGTGAGTGCGGAGGTTGAAAAGGGAGTCATTTACCACTTTAAGAAAGACATTTGGTCAGCTTAAATTCATGGCAGTCCCAGCATCAAAACAACCATGAAAACCTCTCAAATAAGTGGTGCATTATAATCGACCTTTCTGCTGTTTGGTGGACTGTAAATAAACCAATACAGCCACCCTTCATGTCTCCTCAATAATACCTTATTTGCCGGCATTGACAAAAGCTAGTCAAGGCCTGTTTTTGAGAAATATTTGCAGACAAG